CCAGGCTCAGCCCCCAAACCAGAGGTAAAGAGCTCTTTCTGTTCTTATAACCCATGCTAAAGTAGAATCTCCTAGCCATTCTTACTCTACTGTCTATATAGACAGTATTATAGAGCTTTGGTTTCATAAACTCCCCTAATGTATCAACATTTGTGTATAACCTACAGCTATTCTCCCATATACTGTATTTCACCTGTAAGTTACCTGTAATGAGTAAAACCTACAGTGTAAATACTACAGAAGTAGTCTGCCATAGTGCTGGATTTAGGGAAAATGATGAGAAAACAAGTTTGCAGATGTTTGGTAGAGACATATTTTTGAAAGATATTTTTGATCTACAGTTTGGTTGATTAAAGGTGGGAATCCATGCATATGGACAGACAATTGTACATCCTTGTCTGTCCCCCATACTAAATCCCAAGCATTATAGAGATCTTATCTAAGCCATCTTACTTATGATCTCTCAAAGGCCTTCCACTAAACCTTGAACACAGTCAGCTCTCACTAAACATTGATGGAGTGGTCATTAGTCAAAAATAATAATAATAATAATAATAATAATAATAATAATAAAGGTAGTGGTGGCAGCCGAAGGGCACAATATCTGGGGTTCCATGTGAAGACAGAACATGAGAGTTCAGGCAAGAAATCTTTACTACCTGCCCAGAGGAAACATATTCTCATGTAGAAAGCCTTTGTGATGACAGCTTCTTGAAAGTGGCCATGAAATGAAATGAATATAATCACTGATCTGAAAGCAGGTGCATCAGTGCTGGCTAAGATCATACTGAGTGATGGCCAGCTCTGAGGTACAGCGGGTTGGAGACACTTGCATCAGGGTGCCGATTCAAGTTCTGGCTCCTCTGCTTCTAACCCACCTCCATACTCATGATTCTGGAAAGCCACTGCAAACTGTCATCCACATGGGCTACCCAGATGAAGGTTCTGGTACCAGCTGTTGAAGACACTTGTGAGAGTCAGTTAGCAGCTACCACATCTACATTTCCTTCTTTGCCTCTCTCTCTGCCTCTGTCACTCTGCCTTTCAAATAAGTAAATAAATCTTTCATTTAAAATCAGTCTCCTGCTGTGCTTTATTTTTTCTAGAGAGCTTTCATTTCCAGGGCTTTGCAGCTGAAGCAGGATGTGCTTATCCTGATAAAGCATCAAACTCACTCAACAGGGAGAACCAGGCAACAGGCTTGCATGAGTTCATTTTCATCCTGGTGAAATGCCTGCGGCAGGCTATTTCAGAAAGAAAACCGGGGGTGTCGTGGCTCATGGTTCTGAAGATACAAGTCCTGTTACCCAGTGACCTTCTGGATAGGGTGAGACAGAGGCAGGAGCTCTGAGAGTGAACATGCCACAAGATAGAGAGTGTGGGGATATCTTCTGAGCTTTCCTCTTATAAAGCCACCAGAATTCAATCGTGGAGGCTCCACTCCCAATGACATGAATCCATCTCACTTCCCACAGGCCTCACCTCTAAGCAACATCATGGTTGGGTGTAGCTTCCCACCTCTACACGGGCATTCAATAATTCAAGGCACCCAGTCTGGAGTGGGGGTACTCAAACTCTACCCAAGCCATTACAAGGCTCTTGATGGTTTTAGTGAAAATCCACAAGGACTCCCCAAATCATTCCAGGTGAAGATATCACCAAGGCAGATGGAGGAAAGCCCTTGGGATGCTCCATGGCTCTGCCCATCTGGCTGAGTGTCCAGTAAGAAGGCCATCTGTCACAGGAAGCATGCCCCTGGCTTGGCACACAGACATTCACCTTGGCTCAGTCAGCCAGCAAGGGCTGTTTACTGTCAGGCTGACTATGAAACATGCTACCTCAGGATCCAGACACAATAAACGAGGCTATTCACCGGATGATCACACAGAGAGCTGAGCGACACTTAAACAACAGGGCCAGCCCGGAACCAGAGCAAAGGGGAGACAGGGACCATTAGTGGAGGGTCCCCCTGGCATTTCCTGCCGAGAGATGATGTGGAAGAAATCCTCACACAGGACCCTGCTTTTATCTGCAGAAGACACAGTGGTAAATTAGAGCCCATCCTAGCCCAGGCCGGGCTCCGGAGTTTCTCTTGAAGCTATCGCTATCACCGTCCACAGGCCACTAAAACCTGCCTGCATTCAGAATGATTGATTCTGCTCAAACAGCAAGCCACAAACCTGTGGTGAAAAACCCTCTTCAAATAAGTCATTAGCTTCCTTTATGGATTTTTTGGGTTGTAAGGAATAGGGCCTGGGAGTCCTATCTTCAATAGAATAGAGAGGCATAGAGGGGGTTTTGGAGGAGGTAGGGGAATTAGAAAAAGTCATAGGAGCTGGTGAGCCCTTTTGCTCCCTGCCAATCAACAACCAGGATCTAGCTAAAACAGGGCCCAGCTGCCTCCTGGCCAAGGCAGGATCCTCCAACACTAGCTCAAAAGTCTTGGTTGGGTCCCATCATTCATAAATTGGAAAGGAAAAGGGAGAGGGGGGTCCAGCAAGGCTCCATCAGAGGAGGCAGTGTGCCCAGGACACAGGAAGCCAAGGCGAAGGAGGAGCATCCTGACTTTGTGACTTGTCCCAAAATGGTCCATACCAGGGGAGCTGTGATGGAGATCACTGTGGGCTGGCCAGGTGGACCAACCCGACAATAGCCACCAGGGCTGCGATGGCAGCCCAAAGTTACCAGCCCACAAAGCTAGAGTTCTGGAGCTTGGCAAGCGCCAGCTCAGTACCTGACCCATGTTTTAGCAATTCTGATGCACCACGGAGCAGACAGCTCCAGCCCAGGATGACTGGTTCCCTCAGCCCCTCTCCGACTTGCAATGAAAGCAAGATCCACTTTGAAAATTCTCCCCCATCATGCAAACTGACATAGGCATGCTTTTCAAAAACCCACAGCCAATCTGTTGATCATTACTTATTTACAAAGGCCTTCAGGCAGAAAGTCCTTGTAAAAACCATACTTGATACGGTATACACTAGCTTTTTCTGCTTGTGGACAAAAAAAAAAAAGTCCCCCAAGGCTACCTCAAACCATCACTTTCTATTGCACATAAAATGTAGCATGTAACACTAAAGTAGTTAATATATATGGTATAATATATCTACAGGAAAAGGCATTTGTGTAGAAGTATGTTAGCCTGAATTTGGTAATTTGATGTTTTGCTGAAGGCTACGACTTAAAAAAGCCTCCACCTCATACAGCAGACCTGTCATCCTGGTACCCAAGAGCCAACAGAATAAAGAAGTACCCTTAAGCAGCAAAACTTTGACACAGCTTTGAAGCATATGAAAACAGTGTAACTCCTCAGAATTATTATTACTCGAGATCAAAGAAATGAGCCATACTTTACATAGCAAACAGGGACAGGGAATTTGGCTCCAAAGGGCTCAGGTTTTTCAGACTTCTCTTTATTTATTTATTTGCTTCTCTAAATTTAGGCTAAGGAAAGTGCCCAGGCCTCTCTCTCTCTCCTCTACTTTAAATGGAGAACACTATTAGCATTAGATAAGGCGATTACCTAAAGGTGAGTCAATAGGAAATGAATGCTAGCATGACAACTGGCGTCATAAAAATGAGAAGCTTGGCAGTTGGTGCGTTTTATTCTTCCTCATAAACTGTAAACAAGCATGTAAATCAGTGGCACCCAGGCAAGGCTGAGCACAGGGGAAGGCAAAGAACTTTTAAGCAAACATTAAATAGGAATGGATGGTTAATGCCCAAGCAGACAGGGCTGGGTGAGTCTCACACTGAGCCCCCATCCACTGGCATGTGAAGGAGGGACTGTCCTTGCCTAGGTCCTGGAAAGCCAGACAAGCAGGCAGGTGCATATGCCATGGAAAAGGAGGAAACGGAAATCAGCCTTGTTTTCTTTCAGCTATCAAGCAGAAGGAGGTGGCCAAGGGTGACTGAGAGAGGGAGTCCCAGCAAGATGGCAGGAATCCTCCAGGGCGGGTAGATTCAGAAGCAGTCCTGTCTCACCAAGGCATAAGTTAGGTTGTCAGAAGAAACAACACTTGGACGGTTGGAAGATGAAACGGGGAGGTAAGGTGGGGGAGCTCAGTCAAAGGAGTTTGTAGAGAGGACCCCACTGAAATCTGACATTTCTTAGAGGAAGAGGTGGGGGTAAAGCAGGGACAGAGAAAGGAATTAAGGGAAGGAAGAGAGGGAGAGAGGAAACCAAGGGAAGGAGGAAGAGATGGAGGGTGGGAGCAAGGGAGGAAGGGTGGGCGGGGAGAGGATGGTGGGGGCAGGGGAGGGCGGAAGAAAGGAACCCAGGGGAAGAAGAAAAGAAGAGAAGGAGAAGGGAGTGAAAGAGACAGAAGGAAACGAGGAAGAAAGAAGTGAGGGAACACATTGTATTCCATAATTAATATTGCTTTTAGCCTGAGCAGAACAGGATTACTTCTGAACTTTGCTTTGGCAAGTCCACAGATTATTAGACATTTTTTTTATGGGTCAAAATCAATTAACAGAAATTTGATTTCAATGGACAGGATAAAAGGAAGGTAATCTTCAGGTTCATTTTTGATTGTGATGATACATCTCACATATGGCCTTAAGTACAGAAAACAGTCCTCCGAGGGGCTCCGGCAGAAAGAGACTTGCCGCAGGCAATCCTAGCTCGCGGGCTGCTCGGATTGGCTGCCGCCGTCATTAGTGCCACTGCTGTTTAGGAACTACACACAGACAGGACATGGTGACAGCTAAGACTTTAAAGCCTATGTATTTTTCAAACAGCTTTTCAAACTGTTTTTCATGACAGAATTTTTTCAGCTCTATCATTAACTGCTGACAAGCTGACAGAGTAAATACTCCAGCCTTTAAGAAGCCATCTGAAGCATCGCACTCCCCTCCCCCCCACACCCTTTTAGCCCACCCTTGCTGGGTGAGGGAGGCTGTAGGCCAGGGCAGGGTGGGGAGGGGCCTGTGAGCGCAGAAGGATCTAGAGAGAGCGAGAGAGAACGAGAAAGGGGCACGGGCGGCCCTGTCCTTACCTCATCAGCTTCGGGGAGGAGTTGGGTGAGTTCCGCATGCCTCCATTCCGTTGCTTTTTTTTGGGTGATAGTGTTGACGGCTGCTCATCTTCAACTGGAAATACAGGTAGCTCATAAGATTAGGAACAGCGTGAGGGCAGACGGTGAAATACAGGCAAGATATCAAAGGACACACACTCAAGGCTCAGTCACACGCTAGGAAGTCATGGCTGCCTTTTAGACCCAATGGCAAAGACCAAATGAGTGAGTTAGTCAAGGAGGCCAGTTTAGGGGTGGTGTGGGGGAGGTGTTCCTTTCCACACCAGCCTTTGAACATGCACTTCAAACAGACTACAACAGTTTGTCAACACCCTGCCATGAGGGAGAAAGAGAAATTGTGATCTATATATTGTGATATATATAGATATATATAGTGAGCAAGCTATTGAGATTCTGCAAATTAATTTAATTTTGGTTACTTGATTGAGCTGGCTCACTGAATGAGTTTTCTCATAACCAAAATCAGAACTAGAGCTGTCCAAGACACAGCAGCATCATCACTGGTGTCCTGCTGCTTTTCCAAATGAAGCAGCTTAACAGGCTCCTGATCCCTTGCACACCAGAGAAAGAGCCTTGAAGACAGGCAAGGATTCAGCATCTTCACAGCCAATGTTTCCATCAGTCTGGACTGGGAACACTGGTGCAAGCTAGTGCCAGAATCCTTGGCCCAACTCTGCTCTCATCCCTTCAAGTGCCAAAACGGAGGGTACTTGGGGCTGTGCAAATGGGATCCTTACTGAATTCCTGAAGACAGTAGGACTGGGGCTGGCAAGGCTGGTGAGCCGGGCTGGAGAGAAGCCACAGAGTAGAGGAAGAGATTGCCATTGAATGCTATCTCTGGAAACGTAGTGGAGGGCAGCATAGGAGATCGGAAACCAAAGGCTGTTTTCCAAATAGCTAAACCACACAGATGGCTAAGCGATGCGAAGCGTCACTCATCGACAGCACAGCACTCTCTACCACTCTTGCCTGGAGACACCCACTAAAAAGCTTTCTGGATGTAGTAGCCTGCATCATGCTTCTTTTTAGGATCGCGCTGTTCAATAATTAGCAGATGCACACCCAGCCCATCACCTGAGGGCATCAGCAACAAGCTTCTAGTGCTCCTCTCCCCACCCCCCACAAGTCAGGCTAATGCTGCAACGTCAAGAAGGAAGAATAAGCTCTTCATATTCCTAGAGTTGACTGAAACACAGACTAGGAGGTAGCACCCCTGAAACTCAGAACGCACGGCAGTTACCTTGAAACTAAGAGAAACGTTAGCAGTAACCACGGTGAAAGAAGCCTGAAATATGTTAACAGTGTGTGCATCTTAGAGAGGAGGGGAAATACCGTATCAGCTATGTGACGCTATCCAGGAAGACCTATACCACAGCATGCATTACGTGGTCCTTCCCTGAAAACCCCAAATAAATTTAGCAGGTTATGGTACATGGCTCCAAATGGATTACAATAATCCACTGACCAGCCAAACCCTTTTTTTTTGTGCTCTTATATTCTACCCTCTGTGCTGGGTTGTCCCGGATTGTCTGACACCAAAGGAGCAAGGGAAGGGTGCGAGGTGAGAATGATACTGAAAGGAATGAGGGATGAAAGCACCTGCAAATGCTCACAGCCCACTCACCCCACCACATGCTCCCTCTGCTGCCCCTGCCCCAGGCTGCGGCCGGCCGTATCAGTCACTCAGTGCTCCAGGCAGGGCCTGCGTGGCTGGGAGGATATCGCATCTTATCAGAAATGAGTATCCACAGCAAATCACACAGAGACTAAACAGCACTTAAAAGATTAAAGGAAATAAATACAAGCTACATAAATGGTATTGAAAAAAAATCACTTGGAGTTGATATGCATCTCTCGGCAAACATGCAGGCACTCGGAGCTTGACCTGAATCCATCTTCCTTTCACGGGATAGGGATCTGCGCATTCAAGGCAATTACAGGATAGAAATTGTGTGTGTGGTATGTGTGCACAAGTATATTTTTACATGTTTCCCATCATGGATGGAATAGAAATCCCTGCAATGACTACCCCCATAATACAAGGTCACTTTTTCACTTGCAACTGTTGTAATCTAGGATGACCTAGATTAGCTGCGGAGCAAGCTGGGAAGAATGAAGTCTTTGTGTGTGTGTGTTACTGTGTACACAAATTGATCTAGTGGGGATGCTGCTGCTCTTCTTTCACATGTCTTCTAGAGGTTTTACTGCAATACCCAAAAAGGTCTTTTTATTTAACCTGGTCTATGCAAGCCCACCATATTATCAGTGGTTATACCCAGTGACACAATGAGTGTATTATACAAGTCAAGACCTGAACAAAAGTCACCTTTACTGGAATTCCTGCTGGAAGGTTTGGGCTTATTTATCCTTCTCTGTCCTGGATCTACACTCAGTACGCTTTGTTGGTTAAAGATCTGTTAGCTCCACACATGGTCACTTGCTGTTCCCATCCCTGATCTTCAGATGGAAGACTGGCAAGTTAATACATGTTAGCCGGCTCCAGGGACAGCTCATTTTAGTGGCAAAGTTCTGCCTCCTTCTATGCAAGGAAACTCTGTTTTCACTGCAACTCAGAAAGATCATCCATCATAATCATACTGCATTTAAACTGGGATTTGTTCTCTTAAATGAAGCTTGTGTTCAAAGGATTGCTCCTGCACTTGTGGCTTGCAAACATAGATCTGTTCCCTGAAGAGATGTGTGAGGGGGTGGGGGGGCTGGGGAGATATCTCCAGCATAAATACGTGAACATCATGTAACAGAGACCATTACATATGGCTGAGGTCCCACAAGAGAAGCAGCGATAATTTCTTCCTCCTAAGTAGGATATAAACCATATTTAATTATTAGCCTTTATATGGATCCCATCCATTTCTGCCTACTTAAAGAAAGCAGATCTAGGAAAAACTTTCAAACTATAAAATATAATTTCCATCTCATGGCTTCTGTGACTCCACAAGGGGAATAAAAAGAGAATTAAAAGGGAGATTTCAATTTACCTACATTCCTGCAAGATGAATGAGTTTAAGTAATGGGCCCCTACCTCATGACAATGCTTACTGACAGGCTCATATTTAAGCTACTCTTCTGCTAATTGCCACACACCTCTATCTCTAGTGTTTTCATTTGCCTTCGTGCTGTGGAAGCCACATGGAGATACGATCCTTTAAAGAAACTTGACTTACCAGCTTCTTTAAAACACAAACAAGCTAGGAATCTATCGCGGAATTTTTATAGGAGCTGAACTCCTTCTAGTCTCCAAGTACTCGTAAAATTCAAGGGCTTGTTTTTGCACATCCCTAAGTATAACACTTAATGTGCTGTTGTAACTTCCCAGCGCTCCCTTGTCTAATAGGCACTGAATCTAACAGTTTTACAATTTGGGAAGACTCAGCACTAGCAAAATGTCAGGCAAGTCTAATGAGGCTTCAGATCCCCTGGTTTGCGCTGGAGTTTAATTTAAAGTTACAATGATGTTTTAACATGTTTGCTTATACTTGACTAAAGAGGATTCATTATTTCAATGACATAACCTCCAGACAATGTTCTGGGAATTGATTTAAGATGTGGTGGTAATTCCAACAGCCTTAATGCAGAGTTGAACATCTGTAACAACATTTTACTCCACTTTTCATCAGCATTCTGTTTTCCAGCACGAGGCTCGGCAATGTCTTCCAGAAACACTGGCCAGAAGTCTGGGTTTACTTCAAAATGGTCATATATTTTACTAGATTTTGGTAAAGAAATATCTTCTTTTATCCCCCTAGCCAGGTTGCAAATACCATGTCAGGGTTCACTAATGCCTCTTTATGGGTCCTTGAAGTGAAATGGGGCAGCAACTGCAATTCTGAGCCTTCCTGAAGAACCCAGTACCTACACATTATGGACCAAATGGTTAGTTAGCTACAGCCAGGATCAGTCTCTCGTTTCCCTGTTTCCCCAGTGAGATTTGGGGGGTGTGGGGGGCGGGAGGATGATTCTCTTTAAGATGTAAAGGTGAATGTGCTGGCTGGAGTTAAAAAATAGTCCAGAGCAAATAAACTCTGAAACATACTGAAAGTCAAACAACCCGTACATGTGAGTCCGCCAGCTATCTCTCGTACGTTATTCATCACCACATCTGGAGAAGCCCACATCTGTACACACTTAGCAGGTCATTAGTAACGTCACATCCACACTGGAATCACTCGGAGTAAGAATCATGCAAAGTGGTTTGAACACAAAGGCTTCTAGCGAAGAGGACTTCTTTCTAGAGTCTCCAGCAAGCTGCTAGTTTGGGGGCGGGGTCATTTTTAATGATTATTTATTATTGGTTAGGCTTTTCCTTTTTGGTGTCTCCCTGCCCAGCAAGCTAAAGGCATGCTGAAATCCACAGTGGGACATTCTTTTTCAAGTGGGCTCAGCATGTTAAAAGAGAGCATTGAAGGATGCAAGTTACTAAAACTTGGGGTGGATCCCCAAGTACTCCTTCACCTGGCTCGGGCACAAGCCGAGAATTGGGAGTTGTGTTCTTGAACTCAAATGGGTCTTTGGAATAGCGTGATCTAGCTCCATGCTTGACTGCCAAACAATAAGAAGAAAAGAAAATGGAAATTAATCCCCAGTGAAATAGCATGATAGAAAAGTTCCAAAGTAATCTCAACATGAAATGGAACCCATACTCTGGATGGAAAGAGAGGCCTGTTTCTCACAGCTAAAGTGAGCTCTCTCTGATCCTGGTGATTTTGCAAAACTCCTTTTGCTATTTAATTGTCATCAATTAATAAGGATCATATCTGTGGAAATCCAGAAGATAACTTTGGGCAATAACATTTGCCATATGCAACTCCCCTCGCCCCAGCAACATATGTGAATATAGCAGAGTCAGCCCTATTATCTCCATGGCCTACTGGAAGGAATCCTCCTGCTAATAGCTACATTAACATCAATTTAATCTCAGTGCTAAGCTATGGCTTTCCATCTCAAAACACGGGCATGGCCCGTTTCCTCGTCTGTGACATCACTTTAACACCTTGGGCATGCCACTCTTGTGAAAGGGAGTGGTGCAGCATCTCC